AGTAGTCGTCAACCACCAGCAGGAAGTAGCGCTCGTGACCCTGTCCACGGACGCGGGCTGGGCCCCACACGTCCATGTGAAGCGTCTGCATCGGGGCCTCCGTCGGAGGAAACGGGGAGGAGTGAGGGGTAGCCCGCAGGCGACCCTCGACACAGGGGACACAGGGAGGGCCAGGCCCCGGAGGAAGGGGAGGGAGGGACCGGGGAAGGCCAGAGACAAGAAGGCGAGAGGCCATGCCCCGGAGACGAGGCAGGGAGGGGTGACCCATCCTGTGGTGCCACAGAAGGGTCTCGTGGGACAGGAGGCGACACGAGCAGGGGGCGGACTCAGGACCAGACCTGGACGCTACAGCAAACACTTGACCCGACGCAGCTACCTGACCAGACGCAGGAGGAGGAGACGGAACAGTGAGTGTGTACAGGCTCGACCCTGGACCACGTGTGAACGTGGTCAGGTGTCCACCCGTGTCCGCGTCCGTGCAGTGGGTGACCCGTCAGCGCGCAGGGGTGAACTGGTCAACCCCCGCATCATGTAGGTCAGCACCCGCCACCAAGTTCGTAGAGAACGAGGGGAGGTAGAGACCGGACAGGGCTCCAGACGGGACCGCAGGGCACGGCAGGACAGTGGAGTAGCGAGCCAGAACAGGACCCCCAGAGGGGTCTGCCAAGGAGGCCGCCACTGGCCGTCTAAGCGGCGTGAGTGTGGTGCGGTCTCGAAAGAAGGAGCGAGACGCCCCGGAGTCAAGAGTGAAAGTGAGAGAGGGCGAAGTCGACACAGTACCTGAGAGAGCAGACTCACCAGCACCTGAGGACTCAGACTCACTGGCACCTAGAGCAACAGCCTCACCAGCACCTGAAGCAGCAGCCTCAACAGCACCTAGAGCCGCAGTATCAATGCCCGGGTCAGGCGGGAAACACCGGTAACAGTCACCCTCCTCACTAATAGTCACAGCATACATGGCAGCAAGAATAGCATCAAAGTCAAGATAAAAAATAGCTACTCCCGCCCTAGACAGCTGGTCCCAGCGAGGGATCTCAGAGGCGTCAGGAAAATGGCGGCGCCAAGCGTCAGTCAGGCGGCCGAAGCAACGCTGGGTGGAGTGTGGACTACCACACTGCTCACCCGCACGGTCGCCAGTGCGCAGGACGTACGTGCACGGACCAGCACCCCCACCCCTCTGACGTGCAGAGTACCACTCTCGGAGCTGCTGGGGGGAGAGGGTCTCCTGACCACACTGCTGCTGCTGGCGCTGACCACCACCGGAGCCACTCCTCCTCGACGAGCCACGACCTCCGCCGCCTCCTCCGCCGCCACCGCCACCACCTCCGCTGCCACCGCCACTCCCACCGTCGCCGCCGCCACCACCGCCTCCGCCTCCACTCCCACTACCACCGCCGCTGCCGCCCCCGCCTCCACTGCCTCCGCCGACACCTCCACTCCCGCCACCACTCCCGCTACCACCCTCACCTCCTCCGCTGCCTCTACTGCCGCCTCCACCGCCCCTGCCACCTCCACCACCGCCCCTGCCCCCAAGTGCCCAGGTGCCCAGGTGTACATGTCTACTTTGGGCTACTGCTTCAGCGTTGGGACAGGAGCTGTCTCGTGGAGGTCGACCCGGGCGTCTTCCGTTGCTAGCTCCAGCTGTGAGGCAGAGGTGTACGTTGCGGCCATGGCCGTCCGGAAGCTTCACTGGCTCCCTTTCCTCCTCATCGACCTTGGTAAGCTTGTTCGCCAACAACATGTATGCTGTCCTGTTATGCAGTGAGCCCCAACTAGCTGGGAAGGCGAAGCAGATTCAGCTTCGTTTCTCCTTTTTGCGCGAGTTGCAGTAGCGTGGTCAGGCCCGCGTGGTACGTGTGGTCATGGAGTCCAACACTGTAGATATCTTCATCAAGGCGTCACCGCCTTGTGAGCACTAGCGTTTGAGCACCTAGCTAGGCCTTGTCTCTACCGGCCCTCACTTGCTTGTATAGAGATGCTTTGCTTTGGACTCTTGCATCTTACTATATTTGCTATATATCTGCTTGTGGACTGGCTTGTGGCCCTTTGCTTCCTTAGAGATGTTTGTCTTGCTTGTCTTGCATATTCTATATTTGCTATATCATTGTATGTGGATTGGTCTTGTGGCCACTTGCTTGTTCTCGGACAGTGTGGTGAACTTAAGATCCACCCTGAGATTTGTTTTGTTCTCGTGAACTGGTCTTGTGACCATTGTGTATTCCTTCTGATTGATCCTGTGACCCTAGCTCTTTCGACTGAGTGTTGTTTTCCACAGGAATTCATAGATAAGCTACATAAGTGGAGCTAGACTAGGGGGGAAAGCACATTGTGTAAGAGTGATCGCAACATTCCTTGACGTTTGCTCGTATTCTCTCCACGCACACATTTACGGGGAGAATTGGCAAGAGTTTCACTAGCAAAAGTTGTGAACAATGAAGGTTGAACAATGCAAAGCAACAATAGACTATATCAAATGCTAGCAAGCAAGCAGGTTGACCTCCAGCACAGCATGGAAGACCGCCTTCTAGCTCAGCAAAGGCTGCACCGCTCCAGTGCTGCAGAAAGGTGGCTTGCCTACGTTGTAAGTCGGCGGCATGCCAACGCTGTAGCAAGATGGCTGCACAGCGTTGCACCCACATGACAGTAGTGCAATCGCTTCGCAGGTGCTCCCAGTTGGTTGGCGTGCTGTGCCCCATCACATGCACAACGCAGACGCTAAGCCGACCACGTGCCAACGACTGCTCCTGATCAGCCACGTCGACCTCGTGATACCACCTCCAAGTTCGGCTTCGCCAGAACCACTTGGGCGACTGTCGCGCACCTCCGCTGAACCCCCTCGCCCGGGTAACTTGGTCGACCGCTCAGGTCGATGACCACCTTGCGCCGACTTCACGAAGTCGGCCACTCCCCCAAGTCGACCACTTCTGGTTGACCTGGCCTGTTGGTCGCCAACTGCCCCAAGCCAGCTTTCCCAGGTCGGCGCCCTCCTATGTCGACTTCACCAAGTCGACCTCCTTCAGTCGGCACCCTCCAAAGTCGGCGCCTCACCTAGGTCGATGAGTTCCGTCATCGACCACCGGTCCAAGCCGGCCGCCGGCGCCTGTTGTCGGTAGCTTTGAAGTGGCCCCCGTGCAGGTCGACCAAGTCCGTCGACCTGCTTGCCCAAGTCAACGTCGCCCACTACAGCAGGTCGGCTGCACCTCCCACATACCCGACCCTAAAGTCGGCTTCCCCCAAACGAGGACGGGGCCAACAGACAACTACAGTTGATAAGGATTAACGTCACCTAGACTATGGGGGTGTGTAAAATATAATCGTATAGTTTGTATTCATTAGTCCAGGAAGCGTACTCTCATGTGCTTGGGTTAGCTTAGGGTTGACCTATATCCGTGTTCCTTTGCTTAATTCTACCTCATTTCATTCGATAGCTACCCATGTAACAACGTAGGCATTGCTCGCATCCTGCTCTGTGCTCTCGCCAGTCACTCATGCGCTGGTTAGCTCGCTCACTCGCCTAATCCCGCTCGTCGCTTGCATGCGTGCCGCATAGACCGCTCATTCGACCTTTTGGTTCCGACCTATTCCACTCGTTAACGCCCGTAACCCGCCCGTTCCTGCTCGTTTCTGCCCGTTCCCGCTCGTTTCTGACTGTTCCCTTTGGTTTCCACTCCTTTACCGCCAATTTCTGCACATTCCCGATTGTTGCCACACTTTTCCGCCCGTAACCAGCCCGTTCCCACCCGCTTCCGGAAGTTACCGCCTATTGATGCCCGTTCCCAGTCGTACCATGTCTGTTCCTACCCGAAACCGCCCTCAACCCACTCCATCACTCTTAACCGCTCTACCTCACTCAACCTCTCCCAACTGCACCCTACCATTCTCAACCGCATTCGGCCTCACCCTACCGCATCTCACTTCCCCTTGGCTGCGCAGCACTGCCCGCGAGTAGTTCCTACGGCCTTTTCTCTCTCTACGTACTCCCAGTCCTATGGCGACTATTCGTACTCTAGAGTTTGACCATGAGGGCTTTCCTCTTGAGTCCCGATCCTGGCTACGGATGCTCCGCATCTACCTAAGGAGTTGTCTTGAGAACGATATCCCTCTTTTGGAGCATGATGTTGGTGAGCTCCTGGCCGCTCCCCTTCCTGATCCTCTAGGTGTTGTGCATCGCCAGATGCTAAGACAGACTATGCAGTGGCACGTACTGAGCATAGGCGGATTCCCAGTTGCTTGTTCTCGGATGTCAACAACTCCTCGTGCTATGTATGCTGTTGTTGGCTCTAGTGCTTCGGACTCGATTTCCTCAAATGTTTTTAGCTTAGGTGCTTGTGTTGCTGAGGTGCCTGTTGCTAGCGTAGGTACTTGTGTAGACACTAGTGTTAGAACATTATAGCTTATGCTTTTGTGTAGGCTGTAGTGGGGCATCCCATAGGGGGTACAACCCAATTAGGGTTAGTACTTGTACTCAGTTCATTCATAGTTCATTCATAGTTCATTCATTCTTGTTTCTTCTCATGGTATCAAGCAGGTTCCCTCGTGGGAACTGATCCTAGGGCCCACCAAGTCGATTTTTTTTTTCCTGCCCGGAGCGCGCTCCGCTTAGGCCCGAGTCGCGCCTCGAGTGCTCTCTCTACCGTCGCGTCCCTCCTAGGCCTTCCTCGGCCCCGTCGCGTCGCCCCTAGCGGCCTCCCTGGAGCCGCCCTTACTCGTTCCGTCGCCGCCCTACGCGGCCCGTCGCCGCCCTTTACTCGACCCGTAGCCGCCCTTACGCGGCCCGTTGCCGCCCTTACGGCCCGTTGCCGCCCTAAGCGGCCCGTCGCCGCTCTTCTTCGGCCCGTCGCCGCCCTAAGCGGCCGGACGCCGCCCTTCTTGGGCCCGTCGCCGCCCTAAGCGGCCCGTCGCAGCCCTTCGTTGGCCCGTCGCCGCCCTTACGCGGCTCGTCGCCACCCTAAGCGGCCCGTCGCCGCCCTACTCAGCCCGTCGCCGCCCTACGCGGCCCAATGCCGCCCTCACTCGGCCCGTTGCTGCCCGACGCCACCCTTCCGCGGCCAGTCGCAGCCCTTACGCGGCCTGTTGCCGCCCCTTTCCGGCCCGCCGCCGCCCTCAGCAGCTCGACGCCGCCCTTCCCGGCCCTTCGCGCCGCCCTAACGACCCGGCGTTGTCCTCTCACAGCCCGCCATCGCCGCCCTTCGGCTCAGCCCACCGTGTGCCACCCTACACCGCCCCGGCGCCTCCTCCTCCTATCCCACGGCCGCCCCAACTGCACTCGGGCCGTCGTCACGGAGGCAGGAGCCGCCGCAATCGGGTCGCCGAGCCGGCGAGCCGCCCAGCAGCCGAGCCGCCGAGCCACCCAGCCGCCGAGCTGCCCAGCAGCCGAGCCGCCCAGCAGTCGAGCCGCCGAGCCGCCTAGCCGCCGTGCAGCCGAGCCGCCGAGCCGCCCAACCGCCGAGCCGCCCTACCGCCGAGCCGCCCGAGCAGCCCCGTCCGGTGAGCACAGCGCCTCTGTCACTGCACTGCCCCTTCCCTACTGTTTGCACTGCTAGGCTACTGTTGTCATGGCTACCCCTAGTGTCCTTGCTTTTGACGTTGAGGGTCGAGCCATTGACTTTGACGTTTGGGTAGATGACCTGCAGCTGTTCTTACAGTGCGATAGGGCAGACGGTCTCTCTCTCTTTGACCTCACCTCTGGCGCCTCTCGTGCCCCTGCTGCTGATGCTGACGCCACTGTTCGCTCCCAGTGGGCCACGCGCGACGCTGCTGCACGTCTTGCTGTGCGTCGCCACCTCCCTACCTCCGAGCGTGCGCATTTTAGTCAGTACAAGAGTGCTCAGACCTTGTACGACGCTGTAGTTGCACGCTACTCCTCCCCTGCCACTGCTGCACTGAGCCGTCTCATGCTACCGTACCTCTTCCTTGACCTTGCTGCCTTTCCCACCGTTGCTGACCTCATTACGCACCTCCGCACTAGTGACACTCGCTACCGCGCTGCACTTCCTGCTGACTTCTGCGCCAAGAACCGCCCCCCCCCCCCCCATGTACATCACTCTCTACTACATAGTCACTCGCCTCCCTGACTCCCTTCGCGTAGTCAGGGACCACTTCCTCTCAGTCTCTCCCACCACTCTCACTGTTGACCTCCTCGAGAAGTCCCTCCTAGTGGTCGAGAAGAGCATCGTCGCTGTAGGGGCCTCTCGTGGTGACCCGCGCACCCCCATCTTTGAGGGGTGTTCCCCCTCCCCCCATCTACCCCTAGTGGGAGACGCCGCTCTGGCAAGGCCCGAGTCAAGGGTGAAGGTGTGCAAGACCGCAGTAGGCGCAGCACCAGAGAGAGCAGACTCACCAGCACCTGGAGCAGTAGACTCACCAGCGCCTAGAGCAGGAACCTCACCAACACCTGGAGCAGGAGACGCACGAGCACCTAGAGCAGCATCATCACCGGCATCTGGAGCAGGAGACGCATTAGCACCTAGAGCAGCAGACTCACCAGCACCTAGAGCAGCAGATTAGATACTGGGGTCAGGCGGCACACACAGGTGACAGGCACCCTCAGCACTAGTAGACAATGCATACATGGCAGCAAGGATAGCATCATAGTCAAGAGCAATGATATCTACCCTCTGCCTAAGCAGCTCCACCCAGTCGGGGAGCTCAGCGTCGTCGCCAAACCCTGTACGCCAAGCGTCGCTCAGACGGGCAAAGCAGCAAGACTTTGTGTGACTAACCGTCCCGCAAGGCTGACCCGTCCGGACACCCATGCGAATGACGTACGGGCAGCGAGCAGTACTTAGCGACCCTTTACTCAGAGCGTACCACTCACGAAGCTGCTGGGGCGAAAGAGCCTCGTGCGGACGATGCTGCAGCTCCACCTGGCCACTACCAGAAGCTCCCAAACTACCCACTCCAGGGCAACTCCCACTACGGCCACCTCGACAACCCCAATTAGCGTACCACTCACGAAGCTGCTGGGGCGTGAGGGACTCACGCGGATGGCCCTAGAGCTACATCTGGCCACGCCAGAAGCAGCAGTAGCAGTAGTAGCAGCAGTAACAGCAGTAACAGGAGTAGCGGCAGTAGTAGCGGTAGCAGCACGGGTAGGGCAGTGCTCACCAGTGGAGGGAAGGGCAGGCGCACGACGGCGGCGACGACGGGGCTGCTACAGTGGCAGGGCGGGGCCGCGACCGCGGCAGGAAGCTCCGCGGCAGTTGCTGCAGGGCGGGGCCGGGCCGCGACGGCAGCTGGTGCAGGGCGGGGACAAGGCCGCGACGGCAGCTGCTGTAGGGCGGGGCAGTCCTTGACGGCAGCTGCTACAGAGCGGAGCAATCCGCGACAGCTGTTGCTGTTGGGTGGGGCAGGGCCGCAACGGCAGCTGCTGCAAGGGGAGGCAGGGGCGGCCGTCCAAAGGGCAGGCGTGGGGTAGGGCAAGGCGCCGCGGCGGGCAGAGGCGACGCCGCGCGGGTCCCGCAGGGGCGTCGCGACGAGCGGGGGCGACGCCCGGGTCCCGAAGGGGGGTCGCGACGAGGCAGGGGTGACGCGCGGGTCCCGCAGGGGCGTCGCGACTAGGCGGGGGCGACGCGCAGGTCCCGCAGGGGCGTCGCGACGAGGCACGGGTGACGCCCGGGTCCCGCAGAGGTGTCGCGACGAGCAGGGCGACGCGTCGCGGGGTCCAGGGGCTGCGCCGCGAGGTCCAGGGGCGTCTGCATGGGTGCAGGGCAGGCCCGCGCGCGGTCTGCAGGGCAGGGCGGTAGGGTGGCGCTCGAGGGCGCGGGTAGGCAGGTGCTCAAGGGCGCGGGTAGGCAGGCGCTCAAGGGCGCGGGTAGGCAGGCGTTCGAGGGCGCGGGTAGGCAGGCGCTCGAGGGCGCGGGTAGTCAGGCGCAAGACACGTGACAGGGCAGGCAGGCACGACAGTGCGATTCGGGCAGGGCAGAAAAATAAGTTTGTGGTGGGCCCTAAAAAAAACCGGTCCCACTAGGGAACTTGTTTTGAAACCATGTGAGAATAACAGAACAAGGAATGGCTGAACTAGCAAGTAGATGGGTACAAGTAGGAAAACCTAGTAGTGTTGTACCCCATATGGTCTACCCCACTACAGCCTACACAGACTATGACATGTATGTTTGACAGTTTGTATTTGTGTAGAGGCAGTGAAATGGTTGTGAAGCTTTGTAGGTGTGTCTGCATAAGTTTGCTGTTTTTTTCCTTGCTCTGCTTTTGATTCACCATCAGCATTTTGTTACCTTACCACCATTGGCTTTTTATTCTGGTTTGTTTGATGATTTTCTCCTCATCTGCCTTGCTTTCCTTTCCATTTCCTCAGCACTCTGATAATTGTTTTCTTCTCTCCCCTCTTCCTTCCTTCCCTCTCCTTCATTCGGTGCTTACTTCTTTTTCCTGATTAACTTCTAACTTTCATTCCAGATGTGTAGATTTGCCAAGATTACTTGTGAAGTGGATAATAGTGATGACCTGATGGATTGTATTGTATTGATGTTTTATTATTTTTACAGTTCGTGCATTGAATATGTGTGACTTGTATATCTATTTGTATATTTGTGTGTGTGTACTTACGTGTGTGTGTGTGTAATTACGTGTGTGTGTACTTCCGTGTGTGTGTGTGTGTGTACTATGGGTGTGTGCATTCATCCATATCAATTGCGATAACAATGCATGTCTTTGATTTGTAGAAGGCTCAGGTCTATCATTTCACAAAAGGTTCATTGGCGCACTCAGTGACTTGTGTGCGACCACTTCGAACTGGATTTGATAGAGTTGACCTTTTTTTTAGACTTCACCGAATGTGTTGTTTCATGTGATAGTTGATTATTCAAAAGCTAAGCTATTGACCTCCCCCCCATGCTAGGCAGGGGATGGCGGTAGCATAGATTTTGGGTCGTTAACACTCACGCATTTTATTAGTTACATGTGCATCATGACTTTACAACATATCATATTAAATATTATGCATTATATAGCATCATTTATGCATCATGCATCTATTTATCATTACCACCGCATCATTGGTAATAGTAAAACATAGAATATAAATAGTTCAGCATATCTGCACAAAACCACTTCAAAAAAAAAAAAAACTTACAGTAAACAATAGTCAAAACTGCTCAACATGTATACAATATGGGAAAGTTACTGTAGTTTACGAATTTTATTTCATGTTCTGTAAATATAAAAATAAAATTTGGCCAAATCGATCATAAAGGGTTGGTTTGCAACCCACCAATATATATATATATATAAATGCTGCCATTGCTCACATTACTTCTGTTACTATACCAGCCCGTGCCCTGATGATGACGTACCCTACTGGCCTCCACAATCACTACAGCAATTCCTACTACTGCCCTTGCGTCGCTGCTACTGACTGCCACTACCTGTCATGGCCACTATAACGGTAGTTGCAGTGGCTAGGGGTGAACACCAGCAGCCACTACCTCACCTGGACACGCTATCCCTACAGCAGCTTCACGAGTCGGTTTTTCAGCGGGCCCATCCAAGTTGTGGAGGCTTTGGTTTTCTGCGTACTGCACAGAGGCGGCGACAGAGTTAGCAGGAGACCTTCTCCCCGCAACTACTTAGTGAGTTGGTTTCTCAGCGATGTGTCACTGGTTCGGTAGAGGCTACTGCTCTAGGTGCTAGTGAGTCCGCTGCCGCACTAGGTGCTAGTGAGTCTGCTGCCGCTCCAGGTGCTAGTGAGGCTGCTGCAGCTTTAGGTGCTGTGTCGAAAATACTCTGTATGGCCCCGCCGACAATGCCTGTAGTCCCCTGGGTCTCCCTACCCCCCCCCCCCTTCTCTTCTCTTGGACTCCTCTCCTCCCAGTCTCTCTTGCTATCACTATTGGGGCACTACCAACGCCCTATCTGCTGTATACTGTGTGCCGTGTGACAGCGCTCCATCGTGATACCTCACTACCGGCTGACATGCTGGTTCCCTAGCGTGCTCATAACTGCCTGCGACTGGATTAACAGGATTACATTGGAGCAAAATGGGAAACATTCAACGAAGCAGCCAACACTAGGGTTTCAGTTCTGCTATGTACAAGACGACCTTACTGCCCTAGCCTAGCGCTTCTAGCATGCACACATCACATGGGCGAGGCTCGGGGTGCCGAGCCGTATTTACAAACCGCAGGCGCTCTGGATAGGCATGGGCTCCAGCGCAAGCCCTTCGCCAGCTGCAAGCATGGCGTGCATGTTCGACTGCAGCTTCTGCCACCTGTCGGCTGTGCTGTGCTTATCCGCGTCAACAGCTCTCGCCCTGCACAGGACACAAACGAAACATACACCCACCCCAACTCATACACCCATCATTCTCATGCAAACATTCTTGAGCGTTATATACAATAATGTACATCCACCCTTCTTCCCTCCGCCCTTATAGACTCTGCTTCTGCTACGTCCTACCGCTCTCCCTGCTGCCAACTCTTGGCGCTGTCTCGGTTACTATGCGGCCCTCTTGGCTACATAAACCGCGACAGCTGGTGCGTCTCCCGCCCCAGGTCCTGCCTCAGCTGAGGCCTTGCACACTTTCACACTTGACGCAGGCACATCATGTTGCTTCTTTCGTGGTTGCAAGCTACCAGCAGCCGCCGTCGACCGCATCACTCCCCCCTGCATCCCGCCAATGCTGACGGCGACCCGAATCACTCCACGTGTCACCTTCGTGCCTCCTTGACTGCTGACTTGGTCACCACTGTCGACGTCGATTCGTTGTGCACGGTTTGGGGAGAGGCGGATACATCGTGCATTTTAAAACTGGGATGCTCGCACGCTCACTGTGCACAGGTTCCCTGGAGCATCCACTCCAGTAGTGCTCTACCATACTTGAGAGCATCGTGGCATCACCAAGCATCAGCCTCTTGTGCCTCCAAGGTCTCCTCAACGCCTCCAGCTTCTACCAGGTTGGGCACCATCGTCTAAACGGCTTGTCGGCCTAACTACAACTTAGGTAAGTGATTATTCGGCTATTAATATGAAGTTATCTTGCGGGGCCGTCCATGCTCACTGCACCATGCAAAAAGACATTCTACACCAAGAGTTGGACTACGAGGAAAGGCACGGGTAG